AAAATAAATGTAAAGAAAAAATTATAATAACATCTTTAATCCTAATGCCTCAATTGTTGCATTTTGACTGAAAGTGAAAGTGTTAGTTACTCAGTGGTGTCCTACTCTTTGTAACCCCATAGACTGTAGCCCGCAGGCCTCTCTGTCTATGGGATTCTCTGCACAAGAATACCGGAGTGGATAGCCATTCCCTTCTCCAGAAGACTTTCCCAACCCAAGGATTGAAACTGGGTCTCCTGCATTGCAAGCAGAGTCTTTACCAACTAGTTGGAAACAAAATTTCCTCATGAATCTTCTCCCAAATATTCCTTAGACTCTCCCTGACTACTTACAGATACTCTATCTGCCTTCCATTTGAAGGCTTGTATAAGGGAGGAATGTCTTCCATACACTGGAACTATTCCATGGGCTTAGATCCCCTCTGGTGTCCCTCTTTCTTGTTGGCATTTCCTGATTCTCTTCATCTTAGATATTGCTGTCTTTGGTGCTGCTTGCACTTCTGGCTTGCACTCCTGAAGAATGACTCTCACTATCCATGGGAAGCTTCTTCAACCCTGTCTTTCTCCCTTAGGGTTTTTTTTCCCTATCAAGTCAATAGAGAAAATCTGGCTTTTGCCACCACTCTTAGATGGGCTTCCACAGCTAGATCTAGTGGCATGTTCCCTTTTCCCTATATACTTTTATTCATTCTGGAACTCAGAGTGGGGAGACATTTGGAGCAAAATTTAGGCTCAGACACAGACCTGAATTCCCTGCTCTCGCTAAAGGCCAGACATACATTATTTTGGATTGTATAGTGTACCTGTTAACACAGAACAAGACATGTTAAGTCCCTCTTTCATAATAAAAATATTTATTTCCTCTTTAAGAAGGTGATCATTTTTTCCCTCAGCAAATGACCTTACTCAGTCAGTCAGTTTAGTTGCTCAGCTGTGTCTGACTCTTTGAGACCCCATGGACTACAGCATGCCAGGCTTCCCTGTCCATCACCTACTCCCAGAGCTTACTCAAACTCATGTCCATCAAGTCGGTGATGCCATCCAATCATCTCATCCTCTGTCATCCCCTTCTCCTCCCACTCTCAATCCATCCCAGCATCAGGGTCTTTTCCAACGGGTCAGCTCTTCACATCAGGTGGCCCAAGTATTGGAGTTTCAGCTTCAGCATCAGTCCTTCCAATAAGTATTCAGAATTGATTTCCTTTAGGATGGACTGGTTGGATCTCCTTGCAGTCCAAGGGACTCTCAAGAGTCTTCTCCAACACCACAGTTCAAAAGCATCAACTCTTCAGTGCTCAGCTTTCCTTATAGTCCAACTCTCACATCCATACATGACTACTGGAAAAACCACAGCTTTGACTAGACGGACCTTTGTCAGCAAAGTAATGTCTCTGCTTTTTAACATGCTGTCTAGCTGGTCATGGCTTTTCTTCCAAGGAGCAAGTGTCTTTTAATTTCATTACTGTAGTCACCATCTGCAGTGATTTTGGAGCCCCCCAAAATGAAGTCTCTCAGTTTCCATTGTTTCCCCATCTATTTGCCCTTAAGTGGTAGAACTGGATGCCATAATCTTAGTTTTCTGAATGTTAAGTTTTAAGCCAGGTTTTTACTCTACTCTTTCACTTTCATCAAGAGGCTCCTTAGTTCCTTTTCACTTTCTGCCATAAGGGTGGAGTCATCTGCATATCTGAGGTTATTGATATTTCTCCTGGCAATCTTGATTCCCGCTTATGCTTCATCCAACCAGGCATTTCTCATGATATACTTTGTATATGTCAAATAAGCAGAGTGACAATATACAGCTTTGACATACTCCTTTCCCGATTTGGAACCAGTCTGTTGTTCCATGTCTAGTTCTAGCTGTTGCTTCTTGACCTGCATACAGATTTCTCAGGAGGCAGGTCAGGTGGTCTGGTATTCCCATCTCTTCCAGAATTTTCCACAGTTTGTTGTGATCCACACAGTTAAAGGCTTTGGCATAGTCAATAAAGCAGAAATAGATGTTTTCTGGAACTCTCTTGCTTTTTCAATGATCCAGCAGATGTTGGCAATTTGATCTCTGGCTCCTCTGCCTTTTCTAAAGTCAGCTTGAACATCTGGAAGTTCACGGTTCACTTACTGCTGAATACTGGCTTGGAGAATTTTGAGCATTACTTTTCTAGCATATGAGATGAGTGAAATTGTGTGGTAGTTTGAGCATTCTTTGGCATTGCCTTTCTTTGGGATTGGAATGAAAACTGATCTTTTCTAGTCCTGTGGCCACTGCTGAGTTTTCCAAATTTGCTGGCATATTGAGTGCAGCACTTTTACAGCATCATCTTTTAGGATTTGAAATAGCTCAGGTGGAATTCCATCACTTCCACTACCTTTGTTCATAGTGATGCTTCCTAAGGCCCACTTGAATTTGCACTCCAGGATGAATGTGAAGATCCCCTTCTTCAGGGGCTCTTCCCAACCCAGGGATGGAACCTAGGCCTCCTGAATTGCAGGCAGATTCTTTACCAGCTGAGCCACAAGGGAAGCCCAATGATCCTGCTAGTTGAATTCATTCAGTTCAGTTCAGTCGCTCAGTCGTGTCCGACTCTTTGCAACCCCATGAATCACAGCACACCAGGCCTCCTTGTCCATCACAAACTCCCGGAGTTTACTCAAACTCATAACCATCGAATCAATGATGCCATCCAGCCATTTCATCCTCTGTTGTTCCCTTCTCCTCCTGCCCCCAATCCCTCCCAGTATCAGGGTCTTTTCCAATGAGTCAACTCTTAGCAAGAGGTGGCCAAAGTATTGGAGTTCCAGCTTCAGTATCAGTCCTTCCAAGGAACACCCAGGACTGATCTCGTTTAGGATGGACTGGTTGGATCTCCTTGAATTCATTGGTTGAGGATGAAAGACTCAAGGCAGATTGTATTCTGATATATCTTATACTTTATGATGTCTAAGCTTCTGACACCCATGGGGAATAATATAAAATTTTAAATACACAATACTTTTATGCTTGAGTTGCTTTCAAATTTACAAAGTGGAGTTGCATTATTTATTTACAGTTATCAACAATGGCTGGTGTAAAATCAACAATGCCCATAAATTGTATCAGTTGAGGTGCATCAGTCCTCAGTGACCTTCTAGCTTCTTAAGTTCTGATTTTTTGTTTTAGAGGTAAAAAAAATTTCAGTATAACACTAGGTAAAAGAAGCTAACAATTTTATTTATCCCTTTTCTGCCTCAGCAGGACTCATGCTAAAAGTGCTTCTGCCATTTTTTTCTGACATACTTAAAAAGATGTTTTATTCTTCATTGGTAGACACCCAAAGCCTGTCAGTCAATTGAGGAATTGATTAGGAGTCACTGAGAATGCAAAGACTGTCCGCCTTTGAGCCTGCTAATTACCTTCCATCTCTGCACATGCTGCCAGCTCAGCTCAAGAGGCCTCCTGATTGACACTAAACTTTCTCATCTGAGTCATGTGAATCACTGGCTCTAATGACTTTCCAAGATTGGTGTTGATGCTTCTGTAGACATCAAATAGTGGATGTTGAATAATTAAACAGTAAAATTGAGCTGCTACTGGTAGGAGGAATATTTCGTCTTATGAGAGAGGAAGTATCTTGAAGACTACAAATTCTGTGTGGGTTGGGATGCACAAACACTGTCACACACCAGCATCGATCTTATCTATGTATCTAACTATTATCTGTCTATCTATCATAATTATCATCCTCAATCATCTTTCATCTATCTATGTATAAATCTGTGCTAGTCTGCTCTGGCTGTCACAACAAAATATCACAGACTTGGTGGCTTAAACGTCAAAAATCTATTTTATCATAGTTCTAGAAGCCCAAGATCAGGTGCTGGCAAACTTGGCTTCTGCTGAGATCTCTCTTCCTGCCCTCTCTGGCTTTATAGATGCCTGTCTTCTTGTTTGTCTCCACATGGCCTTTCCTCTGTGTGCATGAAGAAAGAGAGAACTCTGTTGTCTCCTCTTCTTCTTGCAAAGACACATGTCCACTTCGATTAGGGGCCACCCTTGAAATCTCATTTAACTGTAGGTACCTCCTAAAAGGTCCTATCTCCAAGAATGTTCACACTGAACTTTGAGAGAATACAATTGGTCCATAACACTGTTTAATCAGACAGTTTGGAAGCTCTTGCCCATTAAACTGAAGAAGGAAATGGCAACCCACTCCAGTATTCTTGCCAAAAGAATCCCGTAGACAGAGGAGCCTGGTGGGCTGCTGTCCATGGGGTCACACAGAGTTGGGCATGACTGAAGTAACTTAGCATGCATGCATTGGAGAAGGAAATGGCAGCCCACTCCACTATTCTTGCCTGGAGAATCCCAGGGATGGAGGAGCCTGGTGGGCTGCTGTGTATGGGGTCACACAGAGTTGGACAGGACTGAAGCGACTTAGCAGCAGCAGCAGCAGCCCACTAAGCAGAATGGGTTGTTTTTGAAAATCTTAACACTGATGTATATTTCATGAAGAAATAGCATATCTGTGGACAGAATGAAGCTTTCTGGTCATTTGCAGTGGGTAGCTGGAACAACGCATGTGCACCAGAACATCATCAATGACACTATCAACAAAAATGGAAAGGGAAACAAGATGTTTAGAACAAACAAACTGTTTGTGTACCTAAAAGTTTTTGATCCCTCTCAGATCAACTTTCAATGATTGCATCCTTGTGATCCTGGCTAGACTGCTTTTCCCTTCTCTTTAACAGGCCTAGGAGCTGAAGACCTACCTGCCTTGCATTTACAAGTATCCCTATTGTGAAAAGACTGCAGAATTCACTCAAATGTTGCTCACTGTTCCTAGAGAACACACAGACTTGGGCGCAGAGGAAGTTGGCAGAACTTTCACACAGTCTCACGTCCCCCATTGTCCAGTCTTTTGGGATGCTGAGCACTGCAGGGAAAGAAGTATGGCTGAAAATAACCAAGAGAATGGCACAGGCTGCTTCACAGGGTCTCTGTGAGCCACTATGGGTACAGAGCTAGTGGTCTAAGGCTGATAATATGCATGGAACATTCTCATAGTTTTCTGCAGCATCTTCAAGGTCACTATCTCCAATGCTGGCTTGCCCTGCAGAGTCATCTGGATATGCCCTCTTCACATCTGAATAGATGACTGTGGGCTCCTAGTGGGAAGGGGAAAAGTACAAACAGTTAGTACCAAAATGTAAGTATGGTAGAGAAGAGGGGAAAGAAAGCCAGGAAATGTGACTCACTTTATCTTCCCGATGTTTCCTTGGTGAATTTGCTGTTGAATTGGAAGAGGAAAGAAAAGTATTAAATTGTGGGTAACATATTGTAACTTACAACATACTCATAAAGCATTCTAAACCAATTTTTCCTCTGCTGACTCATTTCCTAACTGTCTCCTCTGATGAATTCTTTCAAGCCCTCGCAGACCAAGTATCCTATCCTCACACACACAATAAAGCCTTTCCTCTGCCCTTAAAATGTCCATATTGATTTTCCTGAATATATCTTTCTTTCTCCACTGCTCATCACAGCTATAGCAGAGAAGCCCTGCTATTTCCACCTCTCCACCTCTATTCAGTGCCTCTATGCCTTCCAACAACACAAGAGATGACTCTACACATGGACATCACCAGATGGTCATTATGGAAATCAGATTAATTATATTCTTTGCAGTTGAAGATGGAGAAGCACTATACGGTCTTCAAAAATAAGACCTGGCGCTGACTGTGGCTCATATCATCAGCTGCTTATTGCAAAATTCAGGCTCAAATTGAAGGAAGTAGGGAAAACCACTAGGCCATTCATGTTTGACCTAAATCAAATCCCTGTGATTACACAGTGAAGGTGATGAACAGATTCAAGGGACTAGATCTGGTAGACAAAGTGCCTGAAAAACTAAGGATGGAGGTTCATAACACTGTACAGGAGGCAGTGACCAAAACCATACCCAAGAAAAAGAAATGCAAGAGGCAAGGTGGTTGTCTGAGGAGGCCTTACAAATAGCTGAGGAAAAAAAGAGAAACGAAAGGAAAGGATATAAAGAAACAAAAGCAGATATACTCAACTGAATGCAGAGTTTCAGAGAATAGCAAGGAGAGATAAGGAAGCCTTCTAAAGTGAACAATGCAAAGAAATAGAGGGAAACAAGAGAATGGGGAAGACTAGCAATCTCTTTAAGAAAATTGGAGATACCAAAGGAACATTTCATGCAAAGACAGGCACAATAAAGGACAAAAATGGCAAGGACTTAACAGAAGCAGAAGAGATTAAGAAGAGGAGGTACTACAGAGAATACACAGAAGAACTGTACAAAAAAAAGCTCTTAATACCCCCAGATAACCATGATGGTATGGTCACTCACCTAGAGCCAGACATTCTGGAGTGCAAAGTCAAGTGGGCCTTAGGAAAGATTGCTACAAACAAAGCTAGTGCAGTTGATGGAATTCCAGCCAAGCTATTTCAAATCCTAAAAGATGATGCTGTTAAAGCACTGCAGTCAATATACCAGCAAATTTGGAAAACTCAGCAGTGGCCACAGGACTGGAAAAGGTGAGTTTTCATTCCAATGTCAAAGGAAGACAATGCCAAAGAACGTTCAAATTACTATACAATTGCACTCATTTCATATGCTAGCAAGACTTTGCTCAAAATCATTCAAGCTAGACTTCAGCAGTAAGTGAACCAAGAAGTTCTATATGTACAAGCCAGATTTAAAAAAGGCAGAGGAACCAGAGATCAAATTGCCAACATATGCTGGATCATAGAAAAAGCAATGGAATTCAAAAAAAACATCTACTTCTCTTTCATAGACTATGCTAAAGCCTTTGACTGTGTGGATCACAACAAACGGTGGAATATTCTTAAAAAGATGGGAATACCAGACCACATTACCTGCCTCCTGAGAGAGCTGTATGCAGGACAAGAAGCAACAGTTAGAACTGTACATGGAACAGTGGACTGGTTCAAAATTGGAAAAGGAATACATGAAGTTTGTATATTGTCAGTCTACTTATTTAACTTACATGCAGAGTACATCATACAAAATGCTGGGCTGGATGACTCACAAGCTGGAATCAAGATTGCTGGGAGAAATATCAATAACCTCAGATATGCAGGTGATACCATTTAGTGGCAGAAAGTGAAGAGGAACTAAAAGCCTCTTGATGAAGGTGAAAGAGGAGAGTGAAAAAGCTGGCTTACAACTCAACTGAAGCTCATGGAATCTGGTCCCAACACTTCATGGCAAATAGAAAGAGGGAAAGTGGAAGCAGTGACAGATTTCATTTTCTTGGGCTCCAAAATCACTGGGGATGGTGACTGTAGCTATGAAATTAAAAGATGCTTGCTCCCTGGAAGAAAAGCTGTGATGAACCTAGATAAGTGTATTAAAAAGCAAAGACATCACTTTGCTAACAAAGGTCCATTTAGTCAAAGCTATGGGGGTTTTTTAGTAGTCATGTATAGATGTGAGAGTTGGACCATAAAGCAATTCTTCTCTGGACACTGAAGAATTGATGCTTTCAAACTGTAGTACTGGAGAAGACTCTTGAGAGTCCTTGAACAGCAAGGAGATCAAATCAGTCAATCCTAAAGGAAATCAGTCCTGAATATTTATTGGAAGGACTGATGCTGAAGATGAAGCTGCAAAACTTTGGCTACCTGATGAGAAGAGCTGACTCGTTGGAAAAGACCCCAATGCTGGGAGAGATTGAGGACAGAAGGAAAAGGGGGCAACCAAGGATGAGATGGTTGGATGGCATCACCAACTCAATGGCCATGAGTTTGAGCAAACTCAGGGAAATAGTAAGGGGCAGGGAAGTCTGGTCTGCCTCAGTCCATGGGGTCACACAGAGTTGGACACAACTTAACAACTAAGCAACAACAACAATGTCTATATTGGTCTTTTGGGAGAAGGAAGTAAATATGATTCACTTCACTGCACAGAGAAATTGGAGGAGGCTTCGCCAATGGCAGCTTAGGATTCTAAGACCACAAAGAAAATTCCCAGTAAGCCAAAGATTTGCAGCATTAACACAGAAAATACAATGTGTGTATTTCTCCTATCCTCCCAAGAGACTATTTGGATTTCTTTCATTTACTTAATCACCCAGTAAGCATTCAATGAATAATGACCTACTATTAAGCATTAGTAATCTATTAAGAAGGCAAAATTGACACAAACTCAGTGCATATGATCAGGAATCTTACCATTAAGGAGAAAAATAGGGATGAAAACAAATTCAACAAGTATTATTAGCACCAAGATAAAAATGCATATTAAACTATGCTGCTGCCCCAAAGAGTAATCAGTTCCTCTCAGGTTTGGAGGTAGGGAAGGCTGATAGGAATCATTGTAAGTTTTGCAGTGATAACTGAATTATGCCTTGAAATGTGACTAAGGGTTATAGGCCAACTAGAGGCAAGAACATTACAAGACAGATAAGAAACACAAAATAGCTCATTTGATCAAGGAAATGCTGAGAGTCTAACATGGGTAAAGCAAGGACAGAAGGCAGAGCTTAGAGGAAGGACAAAAGCATGCAGGGAGGCAAAGGTCGTGCTTTAAAGTGAAGAATCATTGAGGGCAGTTAATCTATACAATGATGTGATCAACTGCACATCTCCGAGGGATGGTGCCAGAAACAGATTGTTAGAAGGTTGGAAAGTTAAAAGTCACTCAGTCGTGTCCGACTCTTTGCAGCCCCATGGACTATACATTCTATGAAATTCTCCAGGCCAGAATACTGTAGTGGGTAGCCTTTTCCTTCTCCAGGGGATCTTCCCAACCCAGGAACCCAGGGATCAAACCTAAGGTTGGAAGGAGAACAATATTGGAAATAAAGAGACCAGTTAAAAGAATTACAGTTGTTTACTCATTAGATAATAAAAGGCTTAATTTAGTTATTATGTGCATTCATTCACTAAAAGAAAATATTTGAGGGGACCTATAGTTTTCTAAGCATAACACTAGATGCTATTGGCATATTAGCAAAGAAATACAGTATCTGTCCTTAAAGAATTTATGGGGTAATGATGGCAGTGTACACAAGTAAGAAGGAATAGATATGATTATAGAATTTATGATATAAAAAGAGTAGTTAATGCCTTTCATATTGGATTCATATTTGAGATGATTCTTTGATCAAAACTCATTTGCTGGATCTGATAAGACACTGCCACCTTACCTCTACTTATTTCAAGTTTGTCTTACCTGAATTTTCTTTTGTATGTTGGGTGCTCCAGATCTCAGAATAAACCAGGTCGCTATCTCTAGGATTCACTGTGAAAGAATAGATTACAGATGGCTGTAGTCAAGACCTCACACTACAGGCTCTTCTTCCAGACACCAAGTTTATAATCACCTTCTATTCCTGACATAGGGCCAGAAATGACATTTTAAAATTGAATGTGACTGAACTATGGACTATTGCTCAATCTCTCTTCCCTCCCTGATTCAGTCCTGGAGCTCTCTGTCCCTTAGGAAGTCCTCACCATTGTCGTACACTGGCTGCAGTTGCACTGGGTCCAGTGGCTCTTGGGGATTTGTGTTGGAGGTTCCGGAAGGTTCCTGAAATTCCCTGGGACTGCAACTGTGATGAGAGGATGAGAGAAAAAAAGAGAAATGTATTTGTGGATTATATAGAATTTCAGGAAAATCAATATGCAGGGAGAGGCCAGCATGGTTATGTAAAATATCATGGCTGCTTACTCTAAAAGTCTGCATGGCTCTTTTGAGAAAATGTCAGAAGTATGATGCAAGATATAGCCAGGGCAACATTACAGAGAAGACCAGCTGAGGCAAGGTCAGAGGGCAAAGACTACACAGATCAAGATCCCTTTAATAGAGTAAGCACTTGTATTTACCTATTTTTAACATTATTTTCAAAAGTTGAAATGCTTCAGCATCAATTAACAGAGGCTTCTACATTCCCTCAGAAAATGGCCTTTGTCTTTTTTTAAGTTCCCTTTCAGTTTTCTACCTCATATTATAATGATCTACCTTTCCTGTAAAATACTATGAAAGCTCTTCAGGAAAAGTATTTTTTTCCAATTTCATTTCATTCCACAGTTAACATTGTGAGTTGAACATGGCCAGCATTCAATCATAGTCTTGTGAATAAGTATATGAGTGGGAAAATGAACAATAAGGGAACAAATAAATATAGCCTTAAGAAAGATGATGTCATTAAGTGGTCAGTTCTCTGCTGGAGCACACTTAAGGAAGAAGATAAATTAAGATGGATGGATAGTAAATAACATTAATTCCATATATAAGTAAGTATTTTGTTGTTCAGTTGCTCAGTCATGTCTGACTCTTTGCAACCCCATGGACTGCAGCATGCCAGGCTTCTCCACTCTTCACCATCTACTAGAATTTGCTCAAACTCATGTCTATTAAGTTGGTGATGCCATCCAACCATCTCATCCTCTGTTGTCCCCTTTTCCTCCTGCCTTCAGTCTTTCCCAGCATCAGGTCTTTTCTAATGAGTCAGCTCTTCACATCAGGTGGCCAAAGTATTGGAGCTTCAGCTTCAGCACCAGTCCTTCCAATGAGTATTCAGAATTGACTTCCTTTAGGATGGACTGGTTTGATCTCCTTGTAGTCCAAGGGACTCTCAAGAGTCTTCTCAAGCACCATGGTTCAAAAGCATCAATTCTATGGCACTTAGTCTTCTTTATAGTCCAAGTATAAGTATGCTCATTCACAACTATGATTGAAAGTAGCCTTCCTAACCACATTTCAGTTCAGTTCAGTTCAGTCGCTCAGTCGTGTCTGACTCCTTGCAATCTCATGGACTGCACCATGCCAGGCCTCCCTGTCCAGCACCAACTCCAAGAGTTTACCCAAACTCATGTCCATTGAGTCGGTGATGCCATCCAACCATCTCATTCTCTGTTGTCCCCTTCTCCTCCTGCCTTCAATCTTTCCCAGCATCAGGGTCTTTTCCAAGGAGTCAGTTCTTCGCATCAGGTGGCCAAAGTATTGGAGTTTCAGCTTCAGCATCAGTCCTTCCAATGAACACTCAGGACTGATTTCCTTTAGGATGGACTGGTTGGATCTCCTTGCAGTCCAAGGGGCTCAAGAGTCTTCTCCAACACCACAGTTCAAAAGCATCAATTCTTTGGTGCTCAGCTTTCTTTATAGTCCAACTCTCACATCCATACATGACTACTGGAAAAACCACAGCTTTGACTAGACGGACCTTTGTTGGCAAACTAACCTCTCTGCTTTTTAATATGCTGTCTAGATTGGTGATAACTTTCCTTCCAAGGAGTAAGCATCTTTTAATTTCATGGCTTCAGTCACCATCTGTAGTACCACATTTGTGTCATAAGAACTTGAAACTAAAAAAAAAAAATATTGGGGTATAATCTGCAATGTTGTGTTAGTTTCAGATATACAGCAAAGTGAATCTGTTATAACATATACATATATCTACCCTTTTTTAGCTTCTTTTTCCATGTAGGCCATCACAGAATATTGAGTAGAGTTCCCTATGCTATACAGTAGGTCCTTATTAGGTGTCTATCTTGTTGATATATATTGTAACATGTGTGTGTCAATCCTGTTCTGATTTCTCCCTCCCCACCAAGCATTTGAAAATTTTAATAGGAATTCCAGAAAAAATACTTTTAAGTGCACATAGTTTCATGCTCTATCCTGGAAACATAAATAAAATGAAAAGGCTGGCAGCACCAGAAGCAGAAACCTTACCTAGGTGTCCCAGTGGTGGAAGGTCTTTCTGAAAAACAGCAAAGGAACATTGATGATAAGTGATCTGTGTGGACAATGTGCTATATGTTAGAATGTCCTTTCCCAGAAATCAAATTCATTCTAGATTTCAGCTATGGCAAATCTGGCTCCACCCCTTAGGTCATGTTATAGAGAAGGAAGGTGGGATCTGAAGAGATGTTTGCACAGAATCACAATTATTCTCAGTCATTCAATCAATAGAATGAACTCTACATAGTTTGTAACTGAGTGGCAGAAGAGAGAAAACTTAATGTTTAACTCTAGGCCAAGTGCTACCCCTCTTCCCACTTCTCTATTCTGACTGCAGCCCCATGAGGGGGTGCCTGTGGCCTACAGAGGGGTTAAAATTAATACTGAATTGTTACACCAGTATGGTTCAATGGGGCTACAAGACTCTTGTAGTCAGACCTTCCTTTGTCTATGACCTTGCAAGTCCATTTCAACAGCATTTGGTGCGTATCGTTTTCTCCATATCCCTTCTTTCCTTCCTTTTCACCTAATTCCAATTTATTCTTCCTCCTCCAGAGCTTCCCCTGATGCACATAGAACCCTGCTATATTAAAATTACCATATTGCATTGTAATTATCAATTTCTGTGTTTGCCTCTAACACTGCTTCATGAAAGGGTGTGTTACTTGAGAGTATAAAACTCATCTTAATTATTTTTGTATTTCCTGTGCTTAGAAGTTTGAAAATATTTAATAAAGATTTGTTAAACAACTGAACAAATTAAACTATGTACTACAAGGACTAAAAAACAACAGTTGACAATTACCTGAAATGAAGTGAAGTGAAGTCGCTCAGTTGTGTCTAACTCTTTGCGACCCCACAGACTGTGGCCTGCCAGACTTCTTCATCCATGGGATTTCCCAGACAAGAATACTTGAGTGGGTTGCCATTTCCTTCTCCAGGGGGTCTTCCTGACCCAGAGACCAAACCCATGTTTCCTGTGTCTCCTGCATTGGCAGGTGGATTCTTTATCACTGAGCCACCTTTACATACCACAAAAAATGACTGATTCATGCCTTCAAACCCTGTCTTTGGGAACCAGGTGTCCTGACTTAAACTAAAGGTGTGTAAGTGTGATCCTGGCCTGTATCTCTCTCCTCTGGAATTGTAACCTCATCAATCAACAACCAATATTCTTACTTGTAGACAGGTTATCTAAGTTCAGGGTGCATCTGAGAGTCAGACTATCTCTTCATTTGCCTGAAGGAAAACAGACCCAAAAAGTGGCTATTTATAATATAAGCTAATATTCACTGAAGATATTTTGGCCAGGCACTGTTCTAAGCAGTTTACATAGATTGTCTCATACTGCTTAAAATGTAGATACTATTATCATGACCATCACAGAGCTAAGGAGACTGGGGTTTGGAGGGCGTTACATTACCAGAATGCTAATCCAAGCGGTTATAGAGCTAATAAATATACCACTCCTTTTGGTAACTTGGAGGAAACAATCAAGCTTAAGAAGCAGAATACTTCATTTTTAGAAGAATTTGGAAGGCCTGAGCTCTTCCCTGAGAAGACTGGTCAATAATGAGATGGAAGACTTTGCTTGGAGGGAAGTACAGTAGGTAAGATTTTGAGTTGTGATAGGCAGAGACCCTGATTGGTAGCCTGTCAGAATTTCTTAGTCATGTTTGACCTTTAAAAAAATGATTTCCCCTAAATCTGGAGGACAGAACCCCCTGGGCCTCTGACCTCATGGACCGCATAAAACAATGATTGGTAGTCTTTCCTTCTCTTGTGTTATTTGGTGTTGTACTGACAGCAATCTGTTTTTGTTTTTTAATATTATAAACTGCAATACTGAGTTTCTCATAGCTGCATGTCTAGTATATTATTGATTAATAAATGAAATCCAGACAGGCAATGATATAGAAAAGTAACTTTTTAAAGTAGGAGGTACAACCAGCATTTTACAAGTCACCAAGATGTAATGGGGGCTTCCCTGGTAGCCCAATTGGTAAAGAATCCAGGAGATCCCAGTTCAATTCCTAGGTTGAAAAGATCCCCTGGAAAAGGGATAGGCTACCCACTCCAGTATTCTTGGGCTTCCCTTGTGGCTCAGCTGGTAAAGAATCCATTTGCAATGCAGGAGACCTGGGTTCAATCCCTGGGTTGGGAAGATCCCCTGGAGAAGGGAAAGGCTACCCACTCCAGTATTCTGGCCTGGAGAATACCATGGACTGTATAGGCCATGGGGTTTCAAAGAGTCAGACATGACTGAGTGACTTAAAAAAGAAAAAAAAAAAGATGTAAAGGAGAAAATATGGACTTAAGGGCTAGGGAGACCCCAGTTATGCCCTAACTCTGACTCTTACTAGATATACATGAATCTGGAAAGGTTGCTAACTTCCCGAATTCTTCAGTTCTTCATCTTCAATATAGTTATAACAATAGTGGTTGAATTGAAGTCAAATGTACACAAAACTGGACACATTAAAAAATCACATGTAATAGATTCCAAATGAATGGTAGATGTTATGATGAGTACTGTCAGGGTTAGACTCCTTGCATTGGTCATAGCAAATGCCCTCTTCCAACAACCCAGAGAAGATTCTACACATGGACATCACCAAATGGCCAATACCAAAATCAGATTGATTATATTCTTTGCAGCCAAAGATGGAGAAGCTCTATACAATCATCAAAAACAAGACTGGGTGTTGACAGTGGCTCAGATAAACAACTCTTTATTGCAAAACTCAGACTTAAATTGAAGAAAGTAGGGAAAACCACTAGGCCATTCAGGTATGACCTAAAACAAATCCCTTACAATTATACAGTGGAAATGACAAATAGATTCAAGGGATTAGATCT